ATGTCTGATGCATGGCAGAAATGAGAAACTGAACTTTCTGAATGTGAAGTAAATCGTGCTGCTGCTGCTAGGAAATGATACAGGAAAAAGCAATCAATCAGATTCTTTGTTCTGGTAGCAGTGCTACATGCAATTTAATATATAGTAACACAACAGTTCTTTTACAATCTAAATTAAATAGCGTTTTGTGTGAAACTCGGGTTCTTGCAAAAATGACTTGCAGCATTTTTGGTTTTAGTATGCTTTACTTTCTGCGTTACTGACGTGATCTGATAATTGAGAAATGTTGGGCTGACTTTCATTAATTCTGCCTTTTTCTTGTCAAGAGCCACAGATTATTCTTTCTAGACTGCTTATTACTATTTTAAATCGTTGGTCTTTAAATAATTTTAACTTGTAAGTAGAGTTGTTTTGAGTCCCGCATACCTGCAGATGGAGTTCATTATAGCCACAGGTAATTGGACTTTAATACCTGTAAAACATCCACTAGAGACATGAAAGGGCCCGTTCTGTCTTCTGGCAGATGTTTTGCGGATATTAGACTTATATCCAATTATATTTGGGTACTTTAGCAGTACACAATAGCATTCATTTGCAGATGACTATAATATTCTTTTCTCTCCTTCTCCATGTTATGAAATGAATGGGATAATTTATCCTTCTTGGAAAGAGAGAGAAGTATTTTAATGAAAGCTTGAAGAGACTTCCTGAAATTCCTCTTTTTGATACCTGCTAACAAGTCTTGCCATTCAGTAGCGACGTCTCAGCTTGCCGTTCCCCCAGCGTCAGTACCTTAAGCAGCAGGGAGCCCTGCACGGGCTCCCCAGAGCAGCCCGGAGCTGCCTATTTTGGAATCTTTGGGCTGCGCTTTTGGGTGAGATTTTCAAAGGAGTTCAGCTCTCCTCAGGAAGGTCTTTGCTTAGCATTAAGGCTGTGAGGATACAGGGAGAAGCTTAACCCCATCTTCCTGGCGGAGGGGGAACGCTGGTGCGTTTGGCGGTCCGCTGGAACATAAACCCTGGAGTTTTCCTCCGCGGACCCTGGTATGATGAAACGGCTCAAGGCCAAACCGTGTGTGGGCAGTTGGGCAGAAAAGTTCTACTAACAGATGTTCTAAAATATAAAATAAAGAGCCATCTGGGCTTTTTATAAACATATATTCTCTTGCATTAAAAAGTGGGGTTTTTTCTTGCTATAATTTTTATTAGCATTTATTTTGTCATTAAGAAAAATAAAATACTGATTTATTAGTTATGACGTTTAACAGTTAAATTACCTCAAAATTAAATAGATTACCTTGACTAATCCCACCGAGTTCAGTAAATGGTATTAGGATCTGGAACTTGCTGTTGGAGGGCAGGGTAGATAGGACATCAGCAAAACTCGGCAGCATCGCAAAGTAAGAGTGAACCCTCACAACCGGGTATGTAATATTATTCTTTCTAAACTCTCTAAGGATGTTATTTTATATTTTTCATAATGTATTCTTGCTTTTGCATCTCAGGATCAGACAGTTTATTCATTTTTCTTTGTTTTATTTTTCTCTCTGAAAGCCTAGAGTGAGACTTGACAAATATAAAGTGGTGCTAGGCAAGGAAACATAAGTAAGCTGTCTGTCTTTTTTCTGAAGATAGACTTGTGACCAGGAAAGTCAAAGGTATCATGACAACCTGATGAATTTCAGGTCTGCAGAGCCTGCACATATTCCTCGTACCTTGTAACCCCTGGAAAACTGACCAAAGAACTTACGCAGTGAATGAAGGATTTGTGCTTCACACGAATACTGAAACAAATGTGTTCCCTTTAAATGTCCTACTGAAGTGGGCCTGTCTTGCCAAGATCACCGTCATTCATGGCCTCCATCCATGTACCATTGATCTTCCTGGAGAAGTACCCTTTAAAGCCAACGAAGCAGATCTCGCGGTACGTAAAATCTGGTATCCTGCAGAGAGTAGAAACAACTTGTCAAGAGGCAGTGCCCCAGTGCTAACAGTAACTTCCCTTCCTGTCAAACCACTGCTTCTCCACTGGGAGAAGGTACACCGAGAGATGTCACGGTGCCGTGTACAGCACGGAAGGGGCAGAGCGCCGCCTTCCCACGCAGCATTTGGGAACGTGACAACAGCTTTTGTTACGAGCGGATGCAGGGGGTGAGTAACAGTTTGCAAAACCAAAGTCGGTTTGCTGGAATACATCTTTTACGGGGATCCGCTGCCACACCAGAGGATGGGGCTAGGCAGGGGGAGGCGCTCACACCCACAACCCAGGCAAGAGGAGAGGGGTTACCAAGGTGTTACCTTAACAGTGTCAGAGCTAGAACTTGGTATAAACTTCTACCACAAGAAGTAATGAATGTAGAAAAGCTAAATTAGAGTATATTGTCAAAGGTTTTCAAGTTATATTTCACAGCTCAAGTCTGTTAGTTCAGAAACTATGGTAATCTCAATTACGTGGCTAAGTACGACTCAGTTCTTAAAATGTTCAATACTTAGAAGGGCCTCAGTATTTCAGGTCATTTTGGAAGGAAAGAAGCTTTTAAAGTATTGCGCTCTTCCATCGTGTACCTTTTGCTATCTTTATATTGTGGAGGAAATAGAACAAGGTTAATTGACGAAATGAGAGATAGGGAGGGAGGCTCTCATATCATTAGGCAGTCTCAGAAAATCATAATTAAGCAGCAAAATACATTATTTCCTCGTGCGAACAAAGCAACTCCAATCTCCTGGGTAAGTCTGTAATTTGACTCTCTTGAAATAATTTAACTGATACTGTAGAGCAATTCAAAATCGGTTCTAACAACAGTCGGCTGAACTAAGGATGCCTTGCTTAGCATTTGGAAATCCTTGTGCTCAAACTATTCTTATCTCTAAATACAGCATCTCTTGGTCAACGTGCAACAATTTTGTGCTGCAAATTTCATCTGAGACAATTCTGCGTGGGGTGCTAAAGGTTTTCCTCTGCAAAGTTGCAGTAAGCGAAAAGGAAATTTCCATCACACGTTGATCTTCGTGAGACAACTTCAGAGCTGGTAGTTCTGATGATTAAAAATGCAGACCTGAACATACTTTGTCGTATCGCAGGCTGCGTAAGCAGCATCGGTAGGATTGCGGAGTCAGGGTTAATGCTCGTTCGGTTAGAGAGGACAGGCCTTCTACTGACAGACAGCAGTAACCTTGGCTCCTTTTCAGACCCCTCATATTTTAGACTTTGAACAAGTAACATACAATAAATGCAAAGATGATGATATTTATGAGATTCTTTGTTTCACAAAAATTCAGTATAGAGGAATTTAGCCTTTTTTTTTTGATGGCACTGTCCAAACAGAGGAGGGAAGCTAAATACTGTGGGAAGTTGTTAGTCCAAATTATGTTCAGTTTTTCCTTTGAGCCTCCTCTTGGGAGGGGAAACAAATCAGTGACCATTGATGTAAGCTGTGTGTTGATGTGAATTTAAACTCTCTTTCTTAAGGAGTTCTGGACATGTCAAAGGCATATCGTGTTCCACGTTGTGGAACTTTTTCTCCCTTAACTATTGAAGCTTATTTAGAAGATACAAGCCTCTTTTTTCTTTGCTTGATGCCATCAGCTAGAGCTAGTGATCTTTGGGGTAAATGGCAAGATTAAGGAATAACTTATTTCACAAAAATTAAAAAAAAAATCTATTCTCTCATCAGTTTTGCTGTCAATGTCAGTAACTTTGAAAGAAGAGCGGGTTCCATCTTGAATTCTTGATGTTGATGAGCTGTTCAAAATCTGAGCTGTATGAATGGGATAGCTCTGATTCCTGAAATCAGTTTTCCATTTTCTGCCCTCAAACTGCTTTAGATTTGCTGCTAGCCCCATGAAGACCAGAATGAAAGTCACACATACAAAAAATGGAATCGCTATCGATATGCTATAAGAATGTAATTACCAAAATACTTTAAAACTTGCTCTGTGTTGGATAGATTTTTATGGTTGTTTCAGTGTTTTTACAGATTATTGGGTTTGTATCTTCAAACTTGCTTGCCTTCTACTACTGCTGTGAACCTGGATTATACTTGGATTATCAAAAATTAATGATGTGTGGAAACAGTTTTATAGTTTCTAGGTTATCACAAAATGCATAATCCGCATTATTCCTTGAAATTAAGTGCTATTTGAGTACTATAAAATGGTGTTTATTACGCAATTTTGTCCTTTGTGGGTAAGAACTTAAAATCAAGGTCAAATATATATCATTTTATTACGTCAGTTTCCCAAAAGGTCATAGTCGTTATTCTGTCTCCGAGTTATTCTTTTTATTTTTAATTTTCAACAACAAAACCCTTTAAAAGGCTACAAACCTGCATGAATATCTTATTTCCTGGTTTTGTAGCAGATTTATTTCTGGTGTCTCCTGCTCAGTTCTGTATACCAACTCCGGAGCGCGCAAGGTAGCTCAGCGGCCGTCCGGTGAACCCAGATTCCTATTTCATGCATATGTTTTATGGCTGCGTGAATGTGTGCTGTCGTCTGGGGGTTTTTGTGGGTGGTGGGATTTTTTTCTTTGGTTGGCTTTTTGGGGGTGTTGTTTTGCCATCCAGAGTGATGGCCGGTGCATCTCCTCCAGTTGCTTCTTACAAGGGCCTCACTGAACGTGGCTGTCTTTCGCGGCATTGAAACCATTTTCAGAAAAGGAACGATGCTGGTTTTACATGTAAAATCTAAATTAAGCTCAACGTACAGTTACTATCTATATATGGGATGTGTGTAGTCTTAACTTGTTTTTAAAAGTTTGCTTTATTAATATATTGATGTAATATATCTTTAAAAAAACCAGAGCTTACAATATACCTAGGATTGCCATTTGAAATTATATCTAGAATTACCTATGTCTGTCTCTATGTTTATATCTATTACGATATTAACGGTTTAGTTTCAGAAATATATTTGAAGTTAGTGTCTGGATTAGTTCTCTGGGCTGTTCTCCATGACGCCAGAAGAGATGTGTGTCTTAACTGTTTACTCCTGTTTTTATAGATGGCTATACAACAGATGACATTGAATTTTACTGGCGCGGGGGTGATAATGCCGTCACAGGCGTGACAAAGATCGAACTGCCGCAGTTCTCCATTGTAGACTACAAGCTTATCACCAAGAACGTTGTTTTCTCTACAGGTTCGTGGAGGGGAAGCTAAAAGGGGGATTCACTGGGAAGGCTTTTAGAAATGGGTTAATTCTCAACATGCAGTTCAGGATCTGAGCAAAAATTTTAGGAACAGGAATAAATTAGAGCAGCAACTGTGAATTTTGAAAGGAGCGGTTTTTATTACAGCTTTCACGGTGTATAAGGCATCACTCATTAACATATGAAGAGGATACAGTAGTCTGTCATGTTAAGGCTCAGTCAAATAAGCTGTATTTTCTGTTTTCCTATGAAAACTGATTAAGCCACTTACACAGCTCGGCACCCGAAACCCAACAAGAAGTAACCCAGCCTGCAGGAAATTTAGGAACCTTTCTATGGCTATTTCTAGATGTTCCTTGTGCCAAGCTGTGGATGCATTAGACTAATTATTTTGTCTTCACTGTAAAACCTTTAAAAGCCTTGTTCCGCAGGATTTGTAGTTTAGCCTCTGCTAGCAAGCAGGTGACTTTCTGAAGGCTGAAAAGAAGCTTTGTGAGGAGGAGTAGAAAATAAGATTGGATTTCATAAAGGGAAAAACAAAACAAGAAACGACTAGAACATTTCAGTGACATATGAAATCATTCAAGAGAGGCAAGAGTTGGGTCAGGCTATTACTAGGTGGTGTTCTCTGCCTACTTGAGAAAGCTGCTAGGGGTGTTAAAAAAAAAAAAAATCCTCAAAACTCACTTTCTAGATATGGATAGAAATCATCTTTGGAGGGAGTACAGAAGGATTGCGCATCCCAAGTTCTTCAAAACCAAGCAGAAGTGGGACTGGAATAGTGATCTCTAGGCACCTATTTCAACGAGTGTTTCATGCACCAGAATACTTCTGGTGGCCAGTGACAAAGGGCAAGTGTTGCATCGCTCGGCGAGGAGGTTAGAGTAAGGCTTATGCTGAAGTCGGCATACCGCAGCTTGCCAGGGAAGAAGCATTTCTGTGCTTTGATGCTCTGAAATGTGTTTTGGCTGTTGATTGTTGAACAGCATGATTACCAGCGGATAGGCACCTAGGGCATCCTTGTACCCTTCGAATAAAAGACGATTTAATCCCAATTCTTGCTAGAAATTCTGCAGCTGGTTATCCTGGATCTTTCAACGCTGTGCGTACTCCATGTTGCATGAAACAATAAAACCAAAATGACAGAAAAATGTTTTCAGACTTCCTCCAAGTAAATTATGGCCATACCAAATATTCTCTTTTAGGTGCCTACCCAAGGCTGTCTCTCAGCTTTAAACTTAAGAGAAACATTGGTTACTTCATTCTGCAGACCTACATGCCTTCTATTCTGATCACTATCCTGTCCTGGGTTTCCTTCTGGATTAATTATGATGCTTCAGCTGCAAGAGTTGCTTTAGGTAGGCATTTTTACACATCTCATGCAGTGTGCGTTAGCTGAATGCTTTTTCTTGCTTCTGGCTTAGTGGATAGTGCATGATTTGAAAAATAAACCTGTTAGATCTTTTCATGTCTGGCTTGTTAAGCTTTGTATTATTTGAATCAGCATTTAAATCATCACAATTTAAATAAAAATTAAAGTGATTTCATGTCTGAATTAGCTAACTGTATAATCATTGTAACCAGAATTAGCCTAATTGTCTCAACCTTTTCTGTTGTTGTCTGACTGCTTGTTTTTCTCCAAAGAGAATGCATTTAGTTTACTTTTGCCCGTGGCAGTCCAGAATACACATTCAGCACTGTGTTGTGGATTATAAATTGCTTTTCCTTTCAGGTATGAATTAATTGAAGTTTTACTAGGGTAGCATAGCTAACTTCTCCTTAAGTTGCGGACGTTTGTCCTTACTGTTACCTTACGTTGTAAAAGCAAAAACATCTCCCTATTGAATCTCCAGAGTACTTTTATCTCTCATCACTAATCCCGTGTGTGTTTCTTTATACTGTGCCCCTTGTCAGAGGATCCAAGCATGTTACAAAAATAAATATAAGTATCTATTGCCAAATTTTGTATAAAGCAGACTGATTCCTGCCAGTACAGCTCTCATATAGATAAAATGAGTAAATCACCTTAAAAGATACAATTGAGAATTTGCCAGCTGAACTTTATAGAATACTGTCTGAGTTTTACCAGGCCTCTCTGTGTAATGTTTTCCCATAAGAATTCCAGACTGCAGGCATCCTGAAAATGCTGGAGGAGAGTGAGATAACAGTGACTCTAGGCTGGTAATTTATAACTGAGACTCGTTAGAGAAGGTTACAGTTTAGCTGGTTAAAAACATACTCACAGAATCCAGCTGTTGTTTGTTTGATTGAATGCAATTTATTACAGGTGTGATCTTTGTGGTACAAAAAATTAAAGATAAGAAATATAGACAGAGGTTGGGTGTGGTTTTTTTCCACCAGGAGAAAAGGTCTCCTAGAATTTTTCGGCTCTAGCATTTGGATATTATGAGCTATTATGCTAGAAAATTAAAATTAATTCAATCAATAGACTCGTCAATTCTTTTTTCCAGGAATCACAACTGTGCTCACAATGACAACAATTAACACCCATCTTCGAGAGACTCTTCCCAAAATTCCATATGTGAAAGCCATTGACATGTACCTTATGGGATGTTTTGTCTTCGTTTTCATGGCTCTGCTGGAGTATGCGTTGGTCAACTACATCTTCTTTGGCAGGGGACCTCAGCGTCAAAAGAAAGCAGCAGAAAAAGCTGCCAGTGCCAACAACGAGAAGTTGCGGATGGATGTCAATAAGGTAAATTGAAATGGGGATGTATTTTTAGCATTGCCCCAGGAAGGCAGACTTTCACTTCTGCCAGACAGAGCTTTAAGATGTAATTTCTTGTAGAAAATGAGTGGAGTGGGATTATTATGATCTTGTCTTAGCTCTGCTGAGCAGGGTACTTGGCCACCTCAGCAATGAATGCTGCCCTCTAGCCTGGAAAACTGAATGACTTTTTTCTAACGCACGCGCTCAGTTAAGCTTTACTGGGAGATGTTTTCTCAGTCGGGATGCAGAGTTAAATATGTCTAATCTGTTTCCGAAGGAACAAATCCAAAATGATGGCTGTAGCTGATATTCTAGTAAGAGCTGTATGGAACGTTGGAAATAAAACCTAAATTTAACCTACTTTCATAAGTCTTTCAGATGACCTGGATAAGAAATATTTGCTACAGAAGTGTTTAAAGCTTGAAAAGTTTGCGTCTTTTCAACATATAATGGCCCAGGATACTGTTGACTAAATGCGAAACTGCTCAGAAGTAAAGCATCAACTTGCTGTGCACTTAATTTTGAATCTAGAAACGGTCCCCTGGGGATGGAGAATTGAGGCAGAAAATGCATTTGCCAAGATACACACTTCTGGAAAAAGTATCCATTATGCTTAATGAAAATGGAGCACTTACCATGAAGCACTTGTCATTTGTCACTTTGACCATTTTGGATGAGTTTCACACAGTGGCAAATCTGGGCTGAATGCTAAAATGTACTCAGTGTGAAATGTGTAAACTTTCACACACGTGCAAATTTGGAAAGTTAAATAAAGTTTTTTTTTTTTTTTTTTTTTTTTTTTTTTTTTTTTTTTTTTTTTGGCATGGGAAGCTTTATTGAATTTGTAATTCAGCATGATACTCCAAGGGGAAAAAATCAAGAGCAGAATTTAGAAAAAAAAATCTAAATCAGAAAAAACCCACGTGATTATTTGTGGAAACAAAAGTTTCATACAGCTCTAGTGGTGGAATTTCTCGTGTTTGTTCAGAACTTCCCCGCTACCGTAGTGTGCCTGCGGAGAGAAGAACATTTTGTTCCATTTTTGCTGGAACAACAAAAATCCATCACATGTTGATAGCATAAACCAGTTAGTTTTATAGGTTATAGTTTATAGTCTTTTAAGACGGAGGATTATATTGGCATGGCTCAGATCTCACCCATTCATTAATTTGTTTTTTTTCTTTTTAATTTGAGAGAAACATGAATGAAGGCAAATGCATAATGATGAGATTAATGTTATGGTACAATAGATCACATTTCACCATTGTAAAGTTCAGGAAGGCTCTGAAATCTTTTTCTTTCTACTGGTGATTTTTCAGCAATGTAAAAAGAGTTGCAAGCTTTTATTTCATTTGTCAAGTATATTTTTTAAACATCCGCTTCCCTTTAATCAAAGCTATTAACTAAGAAATCCTGTAGGTAATTTTATGAGACTAGATCTGTGTTTACCTGAAGTCTTTCCTCTAGCGTCCGTGGAAATTTAAGGTCCACACGTGTCAGAGTATCACCACTAGCTGAGGTATATTTTTGTATACTGTTGTACTTGTGATATTTTCTATATACTTGTTCATACAATAGGTCTTTCAGCCATGTAACAGAATAGCCAAAGCCTAGCGGCAAATTGCTAATCATGAACGGGAATTTGAAAGCGCTAACTAGCGTACTGATCCGAGCCAGTCAGCAGAGTAAATTACTTCCCGTAACTGTTGCGGAAGTTCAGCAGCCCACAACTTTATTTATATTTTCTTATACTGAGCTTTTTGCTTAATGTATCAGGCCAGCATGGCTCACAGTCCTTGGCAGTTCTGCTCCGGTATCCAGATCCACTCTGATCTGATAGCGACAGACGGAGAAGCAAATAGGAGAGGATCAGAGTAGTGATCGGAGAACGTCGTCCTGCTGCGCATAGACCGCTCTGGGGAGGAGGAAGGAGCTGACGGTTGTTCTTGCTGTTTGACCAGCAGCGAGAAAGCAGACTCATACTGATCGGGCCTGAATATTTTATCTATGAAAGGGGGCCAAATATTATATCATTATTTTCATGTACAAGAAATAAAAATGGGTCTGAACTGCCGAATTTGGTTCAGATGCAGGTTTCCATGAAAACGCAAGTATTTTAGAAATGGGACCAAACGAACGCTCTGTCTCTAACTGAGATCCAACTGAAGGACTGGTTTTACAAAGTATGAGTATTCTTTGTGATATTACTAGATCTCTCTTGTATCGCTACATGGAATACTGTGAATTTGTGCTTGCGACTTCAGATACTATGTGAGAAGAGATTAATGCCGTGAGTAATAAACCTCAAAACGTGAGGATGGAAACTTCTATACAGCTCTGTTACTGCATTCAGCACAGACACGGTAAAAAGGCGGGCGAATAGTTACTGGAACTGCGGCTTGTAGTGCAGCGTCTTTCTTTGTACGTTATAGACCAGCAAATCTGTAGTAGGCTTCTGCAGATTCCAACACCAATTTTTGTAACAGCCTCTTACAACTTTCCTGAACAACGAAAGGTGGTGAGAGACAAAGTGCTGATTAGTCCTTCCCTCCACAACTGCTTGCAAAATCAAAGTAGAAGTTAACACACACTCTGTTTATGCTGTTGAATTTTCTGCGGTGGAGAGATTCCGGGGCAGACACATACATCGGTAGTCTATTTTTGCTCAGTGTTATTCAGAAGATACTAGAGAGCCTGCGAAACGGCACGGAAGCACAACGGAAGCTGTTCTTCCATAACTGTGGTATCTGCTGAATCCAATGTAATCCCTTGGAGATTTGGTGACTCAGGAGGAGGTGGTCTTGTTTTTTCTGTTTGAGTGAACACCATCAGGCTGGCTGCAGAGCTTCCCCTGGGCTACTCCAGATGAAACTGTGGCCAGATCTTTCTTTAAATTTCATATTGTATTCATGTCATAATTGCCCAATGAATGTGGTGGTTTTGCTTTGGTTTTTTAGAATCATCGAATCACAGAATGCGTTGGGATGGAAGGGACCTTTAAAGCCCACCCAGTCCATCCCCCTGCAATGGGCAGGGACATCTTCAACCAGATCAGGCTGCTCAGAGCCCCGTCCAGCCTGGCCTTGAACGTTTCCAGGGATGGGGCATCTCCCACCGCTCTGGGCAACCCCTTCCAGTGGTTCACCTCCCTCGGTGTAAAAAATTTCTTCTGTATATCCAGTCCGAATCACCACAGAAGATTGTAACTTCATATACTCCCTCATTTTCTAAGATTGTTGGCTCTGTTTGGGGTAAGGGAAAGGAGGAGAAGGGATTGGGCCTATATCTCAATTTCCTTCTTGAATTCTGAAACTTGAGTAATAAAATCATGGAGAAATTTAAAGGACATAAAACTCAAGGAAGATTCAGACTCGATTACCAGCAGATATGTTATCACAGACTTGTTAAATCGTATTGGACATGCTCAGTTTTCTTTGCAGTGACTTCGGGTTAAAGTGGCCGTGTGTAGGACCGTTCCACTCTTGAAGCTTCTCAAGCCGCATTCAGCAGTTTATTCCTTTAGTCTAACTCGTCATCTTTTGCCTTCGTCAAGGCTAATTGTTCTCTCTGTAAACAGTCGTATTGTTGCTTACAGGTAAATCACTGGCTTTCTTCTTACTCTAGACATCCTTCGTTTATTGGAGGTAGCACTCACATCACTTCCTCGCCTCTCTTTTCAAGCCTATCATCTTGCCTTGCGATATTTCTTCAAATGCCTTTATTATCTTTATAGTCTCAAGTTTTTAAATCTCTTCTGTTTTGAATGGCATAGTTCTGCGAGTGTATATATAGGGATAGGTAAACTAGGAGTGCTGTGTTTCTGCTTGAAGACCTAATACGTGTCATAAACTAGGGCATATATACGCTAACCCGTTGTTATGCAGTTCTGTTCTGTGGAGTTCTCTATTTTAAATAGGAATGTTGACAGTCACTGGCATTTTTCTTTAAGCTCAGGGCACTAATCTAGTATATTGTCTGTGCTTCTTCCAGATGATTAACAGATATGTTAAAAAAGAGGGCCAAATTCTAACCTCTGGCTTCACAGTATCGTTCGGCTGACTGTCTTCCTATGGGTAACTGCACATATATCTGGGACATACCATCTCTTCAGATTTAATAATGTCAAAGGCTTTACTGAAATCCATAACTTTCATCTGTTAATTCTGTAATTACATAAAAGTGGTCCGCAAGGATTTGGTCTAGAAGCCTCTATGAGGCTTTTTTTTTTTCCTTCTAATTGTAATTTTGGTTTCCGTTTCCTTTTGGGATAGAAGGGGGCAGGAGGAGGGAAACAAGCTACTCTGATACAACCCTTCAAGTTCTCTCCTTCATGAAGCCTGGCTTTGTCTTCAAGGAGATGATCGGCCTAACCAGGATCTCGGTGTAGAGCCTGGTACAACTGTGAATAATTTCTGACGTAGACCCCAGCCATTTTAATGTACTTGATTTCTGTTATCGCAGTTCAAATAATGAGCTCTCTCAGTACCGATTTGTTCCCCGTAAGTTTATTCCAGAATCCAGTAGTCAAGGTGTTTTTGATTAATTTTAAAATTTTCTCCTACATTGTTGGATCCAATAATTCTACCTTGGATGTTTCCATCTTGGAACTGTGGCTTAGATGGGCTTGCTGATGCTGATCACTGTGATGTCTCTGATGCATTTTCCAGTCTTTGTGTTGTTCAGGATTTGCAGTCTGGTCCCTCCCAAGCTCTCTATTTTCAGCATCTTTTCCTGTGTCACTGAATTCCCGGTCAAGCTGCTGCTGATGCCGTTGTTACGTCTCTCGGATTCATTGCTGTTTTTTCCACAGTTGCTCGCCCAACTCATTTGATCCAGACTACTACATACATTAATTGACTTCTCTGGAGATGTAAGAAAGATGAAAATGCTTTTCAATATCAATGATATCTGTGTATTTGTTATTCCAGATAGGTCAGAAAGCCTCCCTTACAGCTATGTGGTAAATGAATGGAAACCAGAACTGT